CATTATATTTGCAGATTCCGTTACATCTGAAATTAGTTGTTTGTTGTGTGTTTTAATGAATATTAAGTGGGTTCAATTAATATTATTATGTTCTATGAAAATTATAATATATTATAACTGTGGTTACAATCATTCATGGGATCATGTTTATAATGCAAAGTGTTGCCAAAAAATGCCTTACTTGAAATAATATAATCATTGACTGAAATAAAATATAAAAAACATGTTTTATTTCAGCTTTCATTTCCATTTTAATGTAATTTAAAGTTGAAGTGCACAACAAATATAACAACAAAGTTGAAGTATAACAACAAATCCTGAAAAACTGTAGAGACATAAAAACAAAAACGAATAAAAATGACAAAACTTACTTATTTATTGTCTTATTTCTAATATTTATTCCATCAGTTGTTTTGCATTACATGTTTTTGAAATGTTGTTTAAACATGCAAATGAGTTAATATCTAATTAAAAATGCAAAATGTGCACATCTATGTTTTCAAATGTATGCAAAATGATGTTTGTATACAACAGAAATCTGAACATTGGATAAAGTCAGGTTCAAAATGTATTGTTTGATTTCGTTTGTTTTTACAGAGAGGATTTTGAATTTCTTTTTATCATGTCATAAATCAGAAAACATCATTTTCACCACGTTTTTAGGAATAAAATTATATATAAATCAGCTGAATGTTATATAAACAACCCCTTCAGTATTGATATAGGTCTGTATACTGTAAAGTTTAGTGTGTGTAAAGAGAGATATGACTCGAACTCACCGTCTTTAATAAAATGCATTGACATTAAAATCTAAAATGAAGTGGAATAAAATCAACACTTGTTTAGGCCTGTGCTGTGTGTGTGTGTGTGTGTGTGTCCAGCCTATCTTCACCATGAGTGCTCAGCAGAACCAGCTGAAGGAAATCACTGACGCTGACTTCCAGACGTTCATGACGTCATACAAATTCATCCCCGTAAGTCATTAAATCTGCATTCATGAGCTTGATTACACGGCTCTGTGGAACGCTTGACTGTGATTGGTCGCGAGTTATTCCCTGATTACCGGTGTTGCCAATTTAGCGCCTTGGTCGCTATTTTTAGCGACTTTTCAGACTTTTAGCGACATTTTTAGCAACTTTTTGGACAAACCTCCAAATGTTGCCAGTCCTGTCCTGCGAGCGTGAGCTCTTGCTTTCTCCATCGTCACTCTCTTTCTCGCAATTGGCTGAGAGGAGCGCACGGCCGCTGACAGACGTGAATGAGCAGTGTTTTTCCATGGACTTATCACTTATCTGCTTTTCTTTTGATTTATATTTAAATAATTTAGTTTGACCATTTTTTTTATTTCTTTTATTGTGCGTATTACTATCACAGAACTTAACTCAACGCTCTTAGTTCAGATAATGTTCCACATAGGCCTATAAAAATGTAATGATTCACTATATTATTTAAAGCTACTCGTTTTATTTTCTGAGAACAACAAAAATAGGAAATGCAAACAGCTTTATTTGACATTCGGCCTTATTATAATGAACAGAGCGTTCGTTTAGAGAGAAAACGCACCAGACTGACAGAACGCAAGTAGGACGCGATGACGTCATTAATATGCTAATTGACGTATGACGTCATCTAGCGACATTTAACGACTTAAGGGAAGGCCTTAGCCACTTTCCTTTGAAAATAGTTGGCAACCCTGCAGATAACAGAAACTCATCCGGTCACTGAAGTCAGCAGCGCTACACACTCGCTAGGAACCGCTTTATCTTGGTGGAAGTGTTGCGTTTGGTGAGCTAATAAAATATTAAAACTCAGTCGAATATATATTGTGTGTACAGTTGTTTAATTATGCCGTCCAGTATCGTGGACGCCATTTTGTGACTATTGTTTTGTGCACTGTTGGATTGCACTGCATCGTTACAAACAGGCGCGATTTTAAAACAGTTTAATCTGAAATCAACATCTCTTATCTCCGTAATTATGAATGTGTTGAAATGCTGTGTAATAAGTGTTATGACTGTATACCGTATCTCTGAAATGTCCCTCTAGTTTGATCCGCTGAAACGGCTCTCTCTGTTTAAAGACTTAACCCTCTGATGGTCCTCAGTCACTTCTGACTGAATAATTTTCTGTTTTGAATTATTAAGAATCACAGCTTCATCGGAAGGTAATGATACTTGGTGACTTTTTTTGGCATTTGGTATGTGAACACACAAAAAAAAATTGACGTCATGATCCGAGCATGCTAAGTGGTCCTAAAAAAAAATAAGTCACACTCGTGGTCTTCAGGCAGAAATGACCGACCCATAGGAAATGAATGGGAAATTGACACAAAAAAACCCCAAAAAAATTCTCTGAATTTTTGTTTGTACAATCTACAAATCGGCCACTATTCTTAAAATAAGTATACCGCAGTAAAGGGGTGACACTCTACAACATCAAGAGTGCAAAAAATTTGCACCCACCCACACACACACACACATACAAACACACTTTTATACACATACACACCAATAAATTCAGACTACAAAAAATCTGTTTTGAATTTTTAAAAATCACAGCTTCATCTGAATATTACGAATCTTGGTGACATTTCTGGCATTAGGTATGTGAACACATAAAAAAATTGAGTTCGTGATCCGAGCATGCTAATTGTTCGTAAAAAAAATTAGTCACGATTTTGGTCTTTGGTCAGAAATGAATGGGAAACTGACAAAAACAGAAAAATGCACAATTTTTGATTTATTTATTTATTTTACAATTTTTAAAATAAGAAATAGTTTTTGAGATTGTTTCAATTATATATTAAAATATATTTTTTTTCTGAAGGCCTAAACTCTATATTAAACAAAAATACTGCATTAATAATTAAAAAAAAAAAAAAATATATATATATATATATATATATATATATATATATATATATATATACTGTATTTCCATTGAACAAATAGACCATAAATATTGCATAAATATTAATAATTCAATCAAATTGTCTCAAAATACTAAATTCTAAACTCCAGATCAATGTTTTGAGGTCTATTTATTTGCTGATGTGGCAAGCAGCCATGTAATGTACATCCAGCCGGACCCGGTTGTTCTCTCAGAATAAACCCCTTCAGGTGTGTGTGTGTGAGAGAGAGAGTTCAAGACCTGATCCTGATCCCCCGGTCGGGTTTATTCTGAGATAACAAACAGCTGGATGAACATTACCCCTTACAGTACATATTGACTGCCCAGAGTGTGAAGTGTAGTGCGATCCCCTTCCCAGAGTGCACTGCAGTTTCTGGAGGCGTACACAGCAGAGGACGTGACCGTGGCGGAGCTGGAGGGAAGCTCGAACTCCCTGTGGACCATCAGCCCTCCCAGCAGAACCAACCTGATGCAGGTCCTGAGCAAAGAGGACCAGTTCCCCGTCACCATGTCCTGGAGCGTCCAGCGGTACGGCGCGCATCGTCACATGCAGACGTGCTCGTCTCCGCCACACAATGAAACATTTTAAGATAATCTCACAATTTCTGACCAAATATCTCACAAATCTGACTTTAAAACACAATTGCAACTTTATATCACAATTTTGACTTTATAACATGCAAATTTCACCAAATATTACACAATTCTGACTTTATATCACAATTTTGACTTAATATCTCACAATTCTGACTTTAAAACACAATTGTGACTTTATAACATGCCATTTTGACCAAATATTACACAATTCTGACTTTGTATCACACAATTTTGACCTAATATTACACAATTCTGACTTTATATAACGCAATTCTGACTTCATATCACAATTGCAACTTTACAACATGCAAATTTCACCAAATATTACACAATTCTGACTTTATAACTCTCAAGTCTGACTTTATTTCATGCAATTCTAAGATAAAAAGTCGCAATTACTTTTATAATTTATGATTGTGTGGCGGACACAAGCTTCCATAAAGCACAGACTCAAACTTCCAAACCTGTCTGTAGATTTAACATGAATGGTAGTTGTCATCTGCAATAATTTAACTTATCCACACCTGGAAATTACTCAAATGAAATTCTACACTTGATACATTTTAGTTTTCAGGATTCATTGATGAATAGAAAGAAATATAACATAGAAAGTATAACGTATAACATTATAAATGTCTTTACTGTCACTTTTGATACATTTAATTTGTCTTTGATGAATAAAAGTACTGGTATTTACACAGTAATCCAAGTCATGCTATAGTGCACAACTGTGGTACGTCACCGCTCGAATGACCGAATAAATCCCATGATCCTCCTCTCTCCTGCAGGAATCTGAGTCTGGGAGCGAAGGCTGAGTTTGCAGTGGACAAACACGTCACGTATCTAGACACGAACACTAAACAAGAGCTGATCGCTTTACTCAACGGCACCAGAAATAAAGCTGTGTGAGTAAAGCCTCATCGGTCTCACGCGTACATGAACGCATGTACTGATACTCAGTGTGTGTGTGTGTGTTTTCTTCCTTACAGGGTCATAGAGAAAGTGTTTCCCTGCTTCATTCGAGCACCGAGTGACTCAAACGCCAAACCCATAGATCAGCTTTACACAGGTAATGCATTCATGTTAATATTAATATCGCTTTGCCAGGGTTTGAAATGAATTTTTTCACTCAACGGCTAATTTGGCTATTTTTAAGTTACCGGCCATTCAGAACTTCTGCTAGACACAAAAACACACACACTACGTCACATCTATACGACATTACAGGTGAAACTCGAAAAATGAGAATATCCTGCAAAAGTGTGTTTATTTCAGTAATTCAACTTAAAGGTGAAACTAATATATTATATAGACTCATTACATGCAAAGTGAGATATTTCAAGCCTTTATTTGTTATAATTGTGATGATTATGTCTTACAGATATGAAAACCTTTTCACAATATTCTACTTTTGAATTTGGGGTTTTCATATCTGTAAGTCATAATCATCACAATTATAACAAATAAAGGCTTGAAATATCCCACTTTGCATGTAATGAGTCTATATGATATATTAGTTTCACCTTTTAAGTTGAATTACTAAAAATTAATCTCATTTTTCGAGTTTCACCTGTAAATATCTATATATAATGCAATTTGGATTTGTACTTTAATTTCGTATTCAAACAAAGTCCTGTCATCCTGTCTTTCCTCTCTTCCTCCTTCATCCTCATCACCACAAATGTGTTTTAGATGGACAGATCAATACAGAACAAAGAACATTAATCTTCACTGTTGTTGTTTAGTGACGTGTGTGTGTGTTCAAGTAAGCCAGATATGAGCAGATTCTGCGCAATACACTGTATTTAATATATCATGATGACTCACAGATTTGTCTTACACAAACTTCCCCAGCAAAGTGAGTAAACATAATAAGTAACGGCCAGTGATTAAACAGCGTTAGCGCCACAGAGTTTTGTTAATCTCAAACCCTGGACACTCACTGGCACCTGACACTCAGCCGGTTTGTGCTGGATCTGCACAGATGAGGGCTATAAGAGCGTTCTGCTGGACTTGGAGAGGTCTCGTAACGCCAGCGAACACCTTCAGGAGTGGTGGATCGTGGACCAGCCGTCGATGGGCAAGATCCAGATGCGCTCCGAGCCCAAGCTGGAGAAGAAGAGCGAGGCCGGACTGCAGCTCTACGTCTTCAGTGATAAAGTCAGTCCTCCCAGCCTGGGCTTTCTGGCGGGATACGGGTGAGTCGCGGCACAGCCTTGGGATGCCTAGATAAGGGTTGGGATGCTAGTCATTAGCCAAACACAGCACGCTAGTCTTACAAGGTGGTTTTATTCTGCTCATTTCTTTTAGTCAGTTGCATGAAAAAGTCTATTGTAATCTGCCCAGCACGACTGATGGCACATTGATCAGACTAACTCTCAACACAGTCTTTACTGAGCAGTTCATGGTCATGCAGGATTTCAAAAGGAAGTGGTTTTTGTGATTTTGTGGCTGTAGTTTATGGAAGCTCGTTTCCGCCACGGAATTATCAAATCTAAAAGGTAATTACGACTTTTTATTTCACAATTCTGACTTTTTCCTCAAAATTGCAGGTTTATATTGTACGGAGGCGTATTGCATTCACATGAAGAAAAAAAAAGTTAATTATCTCAGAATTACGAGATAATTTTTAATGGAAAAAAGTTTTCCAACAAGTTAATTATCTCAGAATTACGATATATCATTTGGAAAAAAAGTTTTTGCTCTGTTTTTCTGAATTAACGAGTTAATTTTCATGGATTTTTTTTTTTTGCTCTGTTTTTTCTGAATTAACGAGTTAATTTTTCATGGATTTTTTTTTTTGCTCTGTTTTTCTGAATTAACGAGTTAATTTTTCATTGATTTTTTTTGCTCTGTTTTTCTAAATTAACTCGTTAATTCAGAAAAACAGAGCAAAAAAAAAAATCCATGAAAAATTAACTCGTTAATTCAGAAAAACAGAGCAAAAAAAATTCCATGAAAAATTAACTCGTTAATTCAGAAAAACAGAGCAAAAACTTTTTTTCCATTAAAAATTATATCGTAATTCTGAGATAATTAACTTGTTAATTCAGAAAAACAGAGTAGATTTTTTTTTCAAGTGAATGCAATACGCCTCCGTAATATTGCACACAAAAACAGGAAAAAATCAGAATTGTTGGAAATAAACTTGCAATTTTGAGGAAAAAGTCAGAATTACTTTATTTATTCTTCAGCAGAAACAAGCTTCCATAGTAATTCAGTTTTGCAGAACATTTGATTTTTTATTTATTTATTTATTAGACGACCACATATTATACCTCGTTAGATGAACAATACTAGGGCTGGGCAAAAAAATAGATTTTTCGATTTTTAAAATGTGGTCGATTCAAAATCGATTCTCAACGGCCACGAATCGATTTTTTCCATATTAAGTGCTCGCCGTGCTGCGTCTTCTCTCTCTGCACCAGGCAAACGCGCGCTGCAGGCGTCGATACACACTCGTGTTTAGGAGTCGGGACATGACGGAATATTCACTTGCACAATCAGGCCAGCATTGCATCGTAACCTATGATCGTAACTAACGTTTATCAGTTTATACATTCAAGCAATGTTAAACCATCCCATGCGTCTTTCACTGCGTGAACATGCAGTAAATCCGCCTCACAAACAGCTCGCCAGTAACAAAAGTTTTATCCCTGGATTATATCGCTTTAACAGTTAAAAACACGCGAAATTATGTTAAAACTCTGGTCTTGGTGAGTAACTTCGTAAAGACATTTGTTTATGTTCACGAAAAAAAACGACAGTGGTACCCCTTTTAGTTTTTTTCGGGGGGCGAAATTTTGAGTTTCTCCAATCTTCTCAAAACTCTGGATTCTGATAGAGGGCCATGAGACTTAGACCTGAGTGCAAAAATGGAGGCTCTAGCCCCTTCCAGAGCTGAGATATCGAAACTCAAAAATTCGGCCCGAAAAAAAAACGACAGTGGTACCCCTTACGTTTTTTTTTTTCGGGAAAAAAAATTAATTTTCTCCAATCTTCCCAAAACTCTGGATTCTGATAGAGGGCCATGAGACTTAGACTTGAGTGCAAAAATGGAGGCTCTAGCCTCTTCCAGAGCTGAGATATCGAAACTCAAAAATTCGGCCCGAAAAAAAAACGACAGTGGTACCCCTTACGTTTTTTTTTTTGGGCGAAAAATTAAGTTTCTCCAATCTTCCAAAACTCTGGATTCTGATAGAGGGCCATGAGACTTAGACCTGAGTGCAAAAATGGAGGCTCTAGCCTCTTCCAGAGCTGAGATATCGAAACTCAAAAATTCGGCCCAAAAAAAAAACGACAGTGGTACCCCTTACGTTTTTTTTTTTGGGCGAAAAATTAAGTTTCTCCAATCTTCCCAAAACTCTGGATTCTGATAGAGGGCCATGAGACTTAGACCTGAGTGCAAAAATGGAGGCTCTAGCCTCTTCCAGAGCTGAGATATCGAAACTCAAAAATTCGGCCCGAAAAAAAAAACGACAGTGGTACCCCTTACGTTTTTTTTTTGGGGGCGAAAAATTAAGTTTCTCCAATCTTCCCAAAACTCTGGATTCTGATAGAGGGCCATGAGACTTAGACCTGAGTGCAAAAAATGGAGGCTCTAGCCCCTTCCAGAGCTGAGATATCGAAACTCAAAAATTCGGCCCGAAAAAAAAAACGACAGTGGTACCCCTTACGTTTTTTTTTTTGGGCGAAAAATTAAGTTTCTCCAATCTTCCCAAAACTCTGGATTCTGATAGAGGGCCATGAGACTTAGACCTGAGTGCAAAAATGGAGGCTCTAGCCCCTTCCAGAGCTGAGATATCGAAACTCAAAAATTCGGCCCGAAAAAAAACGACAGTGGTAGCCCTTACGTTTTTTTTTTGGGCGAAAAATTAAGTTTCTCCAATCTTCCCAAAACTCTGGATTCTGATAGAGGGCCATGAGACTTAGACCTGAGTGCAAAAATGGAGGCTCTAGCCCCTTCCAGAGCTGAGATATCGAAACTCAAAAATTCGGCCCGAAAAAAAAACGACAGTGGTACCCCTTACGTTTTTTTTTTTCGGGCGAAAAATTAAGTTTCTCCAATCTTCCCAAAACTCTGGATTCTGATAGAGGGCCATGAGACTTAGACCTGAGTGCAAAAATGGAGGCTCTAGCCCCTTCCAGAGCTGAGATATCGAAACTCAAAAATTCGGCCCGAAAAAAAAAACGACAGTGGTACCCCTTACGTTTTTTTTTTTTGGGGCGAAAAAATTAAGTTTCTCCAATCTTCCCAAAACTCTGGATTCTGATAGAGGGCCATGAGACTTAGACCTGAGTGCAAAAATGGAGGCTCTAGCCCCTTCCAGAGCTGAGATATCGAAACTCAAAAATTCGGCCCGAAAAAAAAAACGACAGTGGTACCCCTTACGTTTTTTTTTGGGGGCGAAAAAATTAAGTTTTCCAATCTTCCAAAACTCTGGATTCTGATAGAGGGCCATGAGACTTAGACCTGAGTGCAAAAATGGAGGCTCTAGCCCTTCCAGAGCTGAGATATCGAAACTCAAAAATTCGCCCGAAAAAAAAACGACAGTGGTACCCCTTACGTTTTTTTTTTGGGGCGAAAAATTAAGTTTCTCCAATCTTCCAAAACTCTGGATTCTGATAGAGGGCCATGAGACTTAGACCTGAGTGCAAAAATGGAGGCTCTAGCCCTTCCAGAGCTGAGATATCGAAACTCAAAAATTCGGCCCGAAAAAAAAACGACAGTGGTACCCCTTACGTTTTTTTTTTTGGGCGAAAAATTAAGTTTCTCCAATCTTCCAAAACTCTGGATTCTGATAGAGGGCCATGAGACTTAGACCTGAGTGCAAAAATGGAGGCTCTAGCCCCTTCCAGAGCTGAGATATCGAAACTCAAAAATTCGGCCCGAAAAAAAAACGACAGTGGTACCCCTTACGTTTTTTTTTTGGGGCGAAAAATTAAGTTTCTCCAATCTTCCCAAAACTCTGGATTCTGATAGAGGGCCATGAGACTTAGACCTGAGTGCAAAAATGGAGGCTCTAGCCCCTTCCAGAGCTGAGATATCGAAACTCAAAAATTCGGCCCGAAAAAAAAACGACAGTGGTACCCCTTACGTTTTTTTTTTCGGGCGAAAAATTAAGTTTCTCCAATCTTCCCAAACTCTGGATTCTGATAGAGGGCCATGAGACTTAGACCTGAGTGCAAAAATGGAGGCTCTAGCCCTTCCAGAGCTGAGATATCGAAACTCAAAAATTCGGCCCGAAAAAAAAAACGACAGTGGTACCCCTTACGTTTTTTTTTTGGCGAAAAATTAAGTTTCTCCAATCTTCCCAAAACTCTGGATTCTGATAGAGGGCCATGAGACTTAGACCTGAGTGCAAAAATGGAGGCTCTAGCCCCTTCCAGAGCTGAGATATCGAAACTCAAAAATTCGGCCCGAAAAAAAAACGACAGTGGTACCCTTACGTTTTTTTTTTTTGGGCGAAAAATTAAGTTTCTCCAATCTTCCCAAAACTCTGGATTCTGATAGAGGGCCATGAGACTTAGACCTGAGTGCAAAAATGGAGGCTCTAGCCCCTTCCAGAGCTGAGATATCGAAACTCAAAAATTCGGCCCGAAAAAAAAAACGACAGTGGTACCCCTTACGTTTTTTTTTTTGGGCGAAAAAATTAAGTTTCTCCAATCTTCCCAAACTCTGGATTCTGATAGAGGGCCATGAGACTTAGACCTGAGTGCAAAAATGGAGGCTCTAGCCCTTCCAGAGCTGAGATATCGAAACTCAAAAATTCGGCCCGAAAAAAAAAACGACAGTGGTACCCCTTACGTTTTTTTTTTTGGGGCGAAAAAATTAAGTTTCTCCAATCTTCCCAAAACTCTGGATTCTGATAGAGGGCCATGAGACTTAGACCTGAGTGCAAAAATGGAGGCTCTAGCCCCTTCCAGAGCTGAGATATCGAAACTCAAAAATTCGGCCCGAAAAAAAAACGACAGTGGTACCCCTTACGTTTTTTTTTTTTGGGCGAAAAATTAAGTTTCTCCAATCTTCCCAAAACTCTGGATTCTGATAGAGGGCCATGAGACTTAGACCTGAGTGCAAAAATGGAGGCTCTAGCCCCTTCCAGAGCTGAGATATCGAAACTCAAAAATTCGCCCGAAAAAAAAACGACAGTGGTACCCTTACGTTTTTTTTTTTTGGGCGAAAAATTAAGTTTCT